AATATCCTTGCATTAATATTTTAATTCAAAATTGCCAAAATTATAAATTTCCTAATTTATCTATTGATTTGTGGTTAATATTGGTTCTCACAGTTACCACAAACTAATTAGTTCTCATTTGATTAGGCCCATATATATATATATATATATATATATATATATAGATATGTGTGTTTTTTTTAGGAAAATAATTTGAAAGATTAGCAAACCAAATTTGTTAGATAAAACTAGTAATTTGTCCTCTAAACAATAAAAGCAACCATCTTTTGTTTTGATAATGTTTCTTTTTAAAACAAGATCTTGTGTGAAGAAAGATTGGCCATCAAAATCAAAAGTTAGAAAGCATGAAAAGACCACAAATCTTCTGATAGCTTTCTTCTTTCATGCAACAGCTGAATATTCTTCCACTTTTCAGAATAGATTTTTAATAAATCAAACAAACCCTAAAATATTTATTTATATTTGGAATTTTATTATTTTTGTTTAAATTCAATTATTTTGTCCCATAAGAGTATCATATGCTAAGAATATTATAGTTCAACCTTTCCAGCTATTAATCTTATACTTTTCATACAAGAAAAGTGCATTTACAAAGCTTCTAATTAATTTCTAATACAAATTCTCGATTTTTTTAAATAATGTTTGAACGTATTAAATTAATATTATAATTCTTAATTTCTCAAACTATGGGTGTTTGGGTCAGTTTGCGTGTACCTCGACTAATTCTAAGGGTCCTGGAGAGCAATCAAGAAAATACTCGGCAGCCTTGCAGGACTCAAACCGATAACCTCTGAGGATAATCCCTAAAAACCCAAGACTGATTAATTAATATTATTCTTATTTTATTCTAATCTTGATTATATAAAATTAGAAGAAAAAAGATTTGATCAATCAAGCAATGTTTATATATCTTCCAACAACAACCAAACATGAGAATCCATCAAATCATATGATATCATAAAAAATTTCTATTTATAATTAATAATAAAATGCCAAAAAGGAAATATTACTTTGTACAATTGTTAATAAACATCTAAAAATGAAAATCGTTGTTATTTTGATCAGATAAAATGGAAAGAGAGGCGGCTCGGCAGGGACGGAATGGGAAATCTCAAATATGACTTTGTTGTCGAAAATCGAAATGAAGGGTTTGTCTATTTGAAATCGTGTTAGGTCTAATTCCTTAAAGACGATGCATTTTCTTTGTTTTAGTTATATTTAGATTTAGATTGTTTTAGGGAAAATTAAGTGTTATTATATAACTTTGTATCGGCTCAGTTCACGAGTTGGAGTTCAAATCCTGTCTCCACAATACTTTTGTCAAAAAAAAAAATGTATTTTTACATACTTTATGCGTTGTTTTATTATTTGCCGATACAATTGCTAAATTTGTACAATTTCCCCTTCATGAACGGTAACCTGTGGAAGGGCCGACTCCTAATGATAAAGCAATCATTCACGTCTAATATGATACAACTATGATCAACGCTTCATATTAAGAAACAATCAAGATATTTTTATACTAAATGGATGGTTGAGATTGAGTTGTAATGATTATAAGAAAGTTAAATAACAAAACCAATAAAATGTACGACAACCATTTGAATTTTTCTTCTTCCAAAAATTAAATATCGTTTCGATCTGAAATTTTGCATTATGTTTTGCTCGTTTCATGCCTATGATCATAACTTTCGGTGTTCTTGTATATCTGGAACAAAAGAAAAAGAGGTATAGGGTTTCTGGAATCCGATTGAAATCGAATAATTTTGCTTTCTAGTTGTATTTTATTTTATTTTTTTATGAAAAAATAAAATAAAATAAAATAGACTCAACATATCGATCCTAATTCTCCATTTTAACGCTCGTGTCAAAAGTTTTGATCCTTTTTGTATGCCTTCCAGAACAATAGATACTTTTAATAATTTCGGGAACAAAATTTTAAGCCATCATCCCTTTTTATTTTGACAGAAATTCCACTTATGAAGGAATTGATGTTTTTTTCTAAATTATTAATTAATGCTTCATAACGTTAACAACTTAAGGATATTTATTTTTAAATAAATTATCTTGACCCAAAATATATAATTGTTTATGTACGTATGATTTATGAGATGTTGTCAATGTTGGTCAAGTTTTAACTTGTCAAGTCGTAATTGGTCCCAATTACAACCCGTTCAAACTTTTCTTAGGTAACTACAGGTAAAAAGTTATTGTATGGAACACCTTGTTGAGTCCTACTCGTCTCAGACCATGGGTAATAAGTCGGTTCGACCCGTAGAAACATAATCCGGTGTTTTTATAACCGATAAGGTCCCTGTTTTTAGGACGACGTCAACATAATCCGGAAACAAGTAAAAGGAATGATCCTTAACTAGTAAAGAAGAAACAATTATACCATGTATGGTCTGAAGGCCTCTTCTAAGAGTATTTGAGAAGTATGTTGTGGCAAAATTTAGAAGGGGAAAATCATGGTAGATACTAATACTACACACCATAACTTGGATTTAGCTGTCAAATACTCTACTAACATATCCATAACAAAGTAAACTAAAACAAAACAGACCCCTGATATATTTTTTTATGTTACAAACCCTTCTTTTGCCAAATGAATAACGAAATTCTCAGCTGCCTGGACCTGCAATTGCAACTGGAACAGTAAGCAAAACCCACAAAATGGGACACTTTTTGAAAGATGAATATTTGCGAGTATAGACCAGAAAATAACGAAACCTGCTGTTTTATTCTTCCACATCCAGTCCTGTGCTCCCTGCATCCCCTGTAACGGAGAAATACAGACTTTACGTAAATAGAATTCCAAACAAAAAGCTTTGGTCATGAAGAATCGGTAATATTACCTGCTGAAAGCGTGAAGAATCATTCATAGAACCACCACCACCCACCGGCAATTGTGCATAGCCAAAGCCCTGTAGTGCAGAAAGCCAAAAATTAAAGATTAAGCAAGCTCAGTAGGCATTATAATATGCCAAAAGCAAGCTTTACCAACCTACTTCATATTTAGATTTTACGAGATACCCGGCAAGAACCCTAATATGGTTAGACTTCAAGTCTAGGTATTTTATTGTACGGTATGTTCCCTTCTGCTGCTTATACTTTTTGTTATTTTCTCTACTTGGAATACTTCTTTCAGTACTTCGACAAACTCGGCCGCTAATGGTTCAAAATTTTAGCTACATGTTTGACTGTTGAAGATGAAGTGTTTTGATGATACCTGTCCTTCAATCTAAATTTAAAAATCTTAAGCATGCACAATTTATACTTGTCCAGTAACAAAAAGAGAATTTGATTCTTGATGATACACTGCAGCTGTAAGGCGTCCCATCAACCGAATAGCCATTAAGCATACGCATCTACATGGAACAGTTGGTAGAGCATTGGGCTTTTAACCTAATGGTCACAGGTTCAAGTCCTGCTATACCCAAATCTAACTTGCACTGTACTATGAGTAAGGATGCGTAGTAGCGAAAAGAGCACTCTTTGGCCTTTAGATTAGAGGCGYTTCGCCGTCTTTGATTGGATGGAAACAGATATAATGATATTAGAAGGAATAAATGGGGATGAATACCTGAATATTTTGATGACCTGCAACGCCAGCATTTTGATACTGGAACAAAAATTGACATAAAAATAAGATCATCAAATAACCCAAAAAATAGTGAAATATCACAAAGAGAATATTTTCCACACCATGTTGGTCAAAAGAAAATTTTACATAGATACTAAGTGTGGTACTCTATGGATAATGGTAAATCCTGGGGTAGTTGTGATTTAAGTACCCCTCATGTAAATTCTTCTACAACAGTATAGAAAGATTAAACAATAAATAACACCGTTAATAAAATGAGAATGTACCGCTGATGACTGAGGGGCATGCTGCAACTGTTGAGGATGTCGACCCTGCACTTGCATCTGTGTTTGAAGGTGACTTTGAAGCTGAAGTTGGGGAATCTGAGTTTGCTGATTTGGAAGACCTTGACTGTGGGATTGACTCTGAGGCTGCTGTACGGTCGCCGTTTGTTGTTGCTTTTGCTGCTGCTGTTGTTCTTGAGGCTTCTGTTGTAGTTCATATAGAGCCAATTCCTCTGGTTTCTCCCACTGTAATGAGCATTTCAGAAATATTTACCTTCAATTTCAAGATCACCATAAAACAGGAAAAACAAAAGAATGCAAAGAGTAACAAAATTTTACTTTGCTTTCGCCAGTTGTGCTGTTGTAGTAGTACTTATATCCATCAGGAGAGGTGTGCTCGGTCCAATTACATTTCAAGGAACCTCCAGCAGATGACATGGCTGAGGCAACTGAAGCAGCAGATGCAGCAGGAAGTGAATCCGTCAAGGGTTTTACAGCTGAAGCACCAGAAGTGGCTGATGTCTGGGGTAAGCTACCGCCCCATGTAGACTGCTGAAAAGGAAGAGAGTAAAAAGAAGTCTCAGCACCATGAGAAACTTTTGAAAACAAGGCCAACATTGTTGTGTCAATGCATCCTAAGATTCACAATACAATTCTGAGGTCAGGTTAGAAACAGTAGTATAAAAGCTGCAGGTCCAGGAATTAGACTCGATGGATCAACACCGTGTATAAAAAGTAAATGTGTTGATGCTACCAGCTACCCTTCTAGAGCGAGAATGGCTTTGGCAGCAGAAAGGTTCCCAACGTTGTTTTTTCCCAGATATTTAATTTCAGTTGTAAGTGATCTAACACCCAAAGTTGTTAAAAGACCCAAGGAGCAAAGAAGTTCCAGGGTCTAGGCATGGGGAGCAGGCCTCAGGAATGCGAAGCGCATCTTATCAATAAAGATATATATACACACAGTTACACACAACTCAAATATGCAGCAAGTACAAGCCTCCAAATGCAGCAACCATCAGTACTTCGACAGAGGCAGAAGGGAGAAGGGTTTAATGCTTGATCCGTGAGGGAGAAGTTATAAGGTCTGGGTATTTACAGAGGCGGCTTGAAGTTCGAAGGACTGGTTATTTAGGGTTCGACTCATTTCATCTATTTAATGACTTTTTTAAAGAAGTCTAGGAGACGAGAAGATGAGAGAACTTGTTTAATATTAGGGTTTGACTAGGTATTTAATAACTCTTTATAAGGCATGCCTAGGCCCACAAGATGCAATGCCTCAGTGAGCCTCGTGAATATGCCTAGCCTAGACTCAAAAAATCCCAAGACCTTGAGCCTTATGAGCCTCAGAACCACTTTTAACAGCTATGCATCCACTTCCCACTTATGGTACTGATCCTCAACATTCGAACAATAGCCAGATATAATGTCCTTTTAGGGATGCAAGGTCAACGCTATTTCTAGGTATCTTAGAAGAAATTATGATCATGCTCCACAACTTTCCAAGCTACAACTAGAACAGAAAGGGACAAAAGCAGCTAGGAAGATGTGGTATAAACCAAGTGCAACCAAACTCTATGCAAAAACCATACATCTAGGGAACAGAATACAGCTGCAGACATGCATGTTAAAAAGATCAATAGCACGCCCTGGACACCAACTTCTCGTGCTAATAACCCTTGCACGGAAAGATGAATTCTAAAATGAATTAAACAGATCAGTGCTGCAACTTCCACAGCAATTTCACACATCACACAATTTATTGATATGAAAAGGTGCAAAAAATATACAAGGCATGTTCTAATTTAAAATTTAGATACCTGCAATCTTGCACCTTGGAGATTCTGTTGTGGTGTCAAATTCGGATTTGATGGTTGCATAAGCTGCAATTGTTGTTGAAGCTGAGAGAATGCTTGCTGAGATGATTGATAGCTTGCCTGTAAAGTTTGTTTTTGCTGAGACAACATTTGAGCCAGCGGAGAGGCTGATTGCTGCACAGGCTGAAGCATTTGCTGCTGCCCTGGCAGTTGATACTGATTCATCATTGCGGTGAGAACATGGGGTGGTAAGTTGTTATTAGAAAGAGATGGTGTTGTTGTTGATGAGACACCAGCTTGGACTTGTGCTTGCTGAAGGGGTAACATCCCATTGAAACCAAGCATAGGCTGCGATGGAAACCCTTGACTGAAGGAAGCTTGACTAGCAGAGTTGGGTGCTTGTAGTTGCCCAGGTGGCCTTACAGTACTAGATGCTGGAGCCTGCGAGAAAGTTGCAGGTGTCTGCAGCTGTAGCTGCATAGACGAAGGGTAGTCCTGTGGTGACTGATTTGGCTTCTTTAAGGGTGACAAATGGCCACCAGATGAGAGTTGAGGCAAAGATGAATTAAAGCTCTGTAAATAGTTCATGGCAAAAACAATTACCAAGCTGTGTTTCTACTTTCTACCACATCAACTAGAAAACAACATGAGGCCCAGATGTGTGCATACCTGATGTGTTGACGTGGATGGAACAGCAGGTCCAGGAAACAGATTATCAGAAGAGGCACCAAGGCCACCATGGGTACCACCCTGACAAATTATCAAAGATAATAAGCAGGAAAGATAAGTAGCACAGTGCAATGAAAGATGAAACAAATTCCAACGTTATGGTGATTTTTCTAGAGTGGAACAGTATAATATGACGATCATACAAACTAGAAACTCGGGACATTTCTCGATCTACATGACAACGGGGGGATTATATTGGATTCAGGGATCCCTCGGTAATAATTGATATACTTTCAAGCATATATTTAGAAGAGATCCCAAAAAACCTAATAGTCAGCAAAATAAGTCCTCGGTTAATCTTTCCGACTTCTAAAGCAATATCCACCAATACTGTATGCGAACATGATTATGTTTTTTGGCCTATAGAGTAGGAATTTAGATTTTATGTTTCACAGAAGATTATAGAAGCAGTAATAAACATTAATGAACATTTGCATTGTTTTTAATAGAGTTGAAATTGAATCTTAGCAAATCACATTGCATAGTGCAACCATGGAGTCAACCTCAAAATGAGCCATGGCACGTGGCAAACACCCGTTTCCAAGCAGAAATGTCAAAAACATGCAGTTTAAATATAGTATGAGGTGAATCAAATTCAGTCATAACAGATCTATTCTACTACTTCAATGTTAAAAAAACAACAATAATGGTTTATTCAGCAAAACATGGCTTATGCCTCCATATAGTTGTTTATATTCATTAAACTAGGTGATGCAAGTAAAATAAATTCTAATATGTGAAAACAAATAAACCATTGTATTACCAACACAAATAAAAACATTTTGCTAGCTCGCTGATTATTATTGAAGCTGTAAAAAGTAAGTGAAGAAGATCAGATCAATTGAAATTCTCATGAATAGATGTAAAAACCAGCATCAATCAAGATTCAAGAGTGGAATGAAGAATACATAATCTGCTAATAGTTGCAGAAGTACCAAACATCTTGGCTTCTTTGTATTATATTACCAGTTTCATATAAGTCGCACGAAGCTTTAGAAAAACAAAATGGAAGGCCAAAAAATGATCCAAACAATGTAAATGCATTTCTTTCATTGAAAGACCTAAATTTTACAGAATGATCATTATAGGGATATGTACCATGGTTATAGCCTTGTTTCCTGTTATGTGTTGTGCAATTGGTGCTGTTATATATGGTGAGACATCACACAAACCTGGACTACTATGACATTAGACCATAATACATAGATTTAGGATTTTCATTTATCCTCTAGGTTCAGAAATTATAGTCCTTGAATAACTTAAAAGGTCGATTAATATGTCTACATATATAGAGAAGTCATGTATGAATAATCAACTTACTGGGGCTGAAGACCCTTTCCCATCAGCAGATCTAGGAGCCGCTTGACTGCCAAAACCATGCATGCCAATATCAGAAGATGGTACCATGCCCTGCTGGTTCATCGGATGCCATGCATTTGGAGGAATAGGAGCGTGCATAGCCTCACCAGGATTTGGTGGTCTGAAATAACATTTGTTAGCACAGAGGAAGTAAAGTATGCAATGTCAAAAAAGAAGACAGTAAACGTAAGGCTAGCATGGTATAAGAAGCAGACAAGTTGTATCACACGCTAATTCCAAGCTTCCACCGCTAGGTGGTCCCTCATCAACCAAAAAAGTTGTACCCTATAAAGATATAGGAAAAGGGTACCTAATCCCAGGGGACTGCAGCCGAGGACCAAACCCAGGACCACCAAATGCAGGAGCTCCCCTGGCAAAAGAAGATAGAAAATTAATAATATAAACGACATAATTTGGTGAAGGAAATAGTTATGAAGAAAAATATCTGCAGACATATTAGCTGAGGTACAGTTATCTAGTGTTGCATTCTTCTTTTTACTCTCGTCTTCTCTATGAGGAGAAGTGGTTGCTTTATAGTTTATTCCATTCTGCTCCGTATTTTCAATAATTTAAAAGGCAAAAAAGAGAAGTTTTTCAATTATACAATGGTATACTCTTCCACAAAGATGATAGAAATGACAAAAATTTAAAATTCACACATTTCAAGACTTGGATGGACGGTACCAAGAGAAAAAAACGTTCTGTTTTAGCACTGCAACCCCAATAAACAAAAAAATATCAAATCATGGAGAGTATAAATAAAAGACCATGCTGTTGAAGAATGAACAGAATGGTTCACAGCGAACTAAGAAGGTGATCTGATATTTTTTGCTATGCTTCATTTAAAGAATTTATGTAGCACCAGCTTAATTTGACAAAGGTTATCAAAGCGTTAAGCAGCTTCAATTACTCAAATATCTGTCCCAAGGGCACTTGACATTAGCTTCAACGGCAATAACAAAGCCTATACAAACTACTTTGGAGAAACCAATATCAAACTCAGAGACACAAGATATCATATCTATAGGAAATAGAAAGCCTGTCAAACAAGTCAGGGTGAATCAATTGTCAGACACAGTTGAAGGAGAGCAATAAAAGGTTGAGTGCTTGTTTTCATGAAGATCCCAGGCTTGTACATAAGTGTAAGCAAACAGGTAGCAAGAGCAAAGACTTACACATGATAAACATAGATCGGAAAAATAAGAAAGTATCATGTAGGTGCATTGAAAACATTCAAAAGGCAAAAGGACAAACAACATAGAGCAAGTAAGGCAGAACTCGCACAAAGCAAGGCAAAACATATCCCTAGTCTAAACTGTCAGCCCTCTACCTCCAAACATCTCCAACTCCCTTCTTCCCAACCACACTAGCAAGACCCCACATCTATTATGCTACCCTAGTCCACCTTCTCCATGTACTCCTATCAGATGTCATGTCCTCATAAATGCCTATGGGTCCCATGTCCATTCCCAATTGCTCATCTCACGTCCTTCTTAGCCTTCCACTCCTCATCACCCCTTCAACTGTCACTCTTTCTACTCTCTTTACCTGTGCCGCCATTGATCTCCTACAAATGTGCCCAAACAATCGCGATCTCCCTTCTCTCAATTAATCCGTTATTGGGGCAACTCGGGAAACTTCCAAGTCCATCGCAAAAAAGAACTCATTCAAAATCCTGCCTAACATGGTTTGACCACAAATCCACCAAAGTATCCTCATTTCCACAACTTCCAACTTTCTCTTAACGACCTTCCTTGTATCCCAACATTCTGACCCATACAGCATAGTTGGTCTGATGGCCACCCTGTAACATGTCCTTCAGTTTCAGTGGGACTTCCTTGTTACACAGCACCCCTATGGCAACTCTCAACTTTAGCCACCCTACCTTTATTTGATGTGTTGTGTCTTTCCTAGACCTCTCCCTCTCCCTCTTTTTTAATCATGGAACCTAAATACTTGAAACTATCCCTTTGGAGTACCTATTGCTCCCCACTGAAATTGCACCTTTAGAACCACCAATTCACAAACCTTGTGTTTCCAAAGCCACACTCCACTGCTCCAATCTCTCACTAATTTCCCTTCGATTCCGCCATCGACACCATGGAACACTCCCCTAGATCCCCTTGGAGATCCATCCAAAATTATAGCAGAGAAATAGACATAACACCAACTCCACCTAGACTCATTTAAGTCCCTAGTTCTCCCTTACGGAACCCCTAGTGTACCCTCGGCCACTGCCCTAACAACATAAGCCACTCTACTCCACATATGTTTGGCGCTTCCCCTTGTCCATTCCCTACCTCCCGAGCGACACTATCCGTAAATTACTGAATTGTTTTCCTTTTTAGATTTTTCCATGAGATTTGTGTTCTTGTCTCCCTCGTACCTTCCACTTCACCTCTCCTTATGAATAAGTCCGTTGCCAACAAATGATGTTGAAACACCTTAAACCCTGCAGATAGCGATCCTAACTATGCATAAGAAGGTAATCAATTTGGGTGCTATGACCCTCATTCCTATAAGCGACCAGGTACTCATCATCTATACTATATTATAAAGCATTTGACAAAAACTCTTAAAAACCAATTTTAATACAAAGTACTGTTTATTGATGCATATTACTTAAAATTCAAGATTACAAGTAATTTTGCGTAAGTACAACTTATTAAACCTCCACTTTTAAATTCGTGTAACTAACTGCAGATAAACATAATCAAATACAGAATAAACATCCATTTTAAATATAGAAAATCGATGATATAATTAAGATAATCATTGAGTTCTAACAGAATTTTTAATTATTATCTTTATAAAAAATTGTATTTTTAAACCAAAAATAAATTAATTTGTTATTAAATCTAAATTAAATTATAATAAAAATTAAATTAAAGAGGTTACACCAAAAAAACAAGAACTAATAAATAGTTTATTTGATGCTAACGTCGATTTATTTTTTTCAAATTTTTATGCTATCTTCAAATTTGTATTTCATTCAAAAATAAAAACATTATTGTTTTCTCAAAACCACATAAAATCGTATTATTTCGATAGAGACAGAATAAAAACTAAACATCAAAATCGAGATTTATCTCGCTGCATTGTGCGATTTTCCCTTCTAGTGTTTTCTAAAGCAGGAGTTTGACACTCTTGAGTCATGAACCGTTGTGGAATCCATGAGGGCACAACCTCCTTCCTTCTTCATACCAACTCCAAAACCACCATGAACTCCTTGGTACACATCTACAATCTGCCACTCCCCCAATATGTCATTTGAAATTACCCCCTAAAAAACACATTGGTTGCTCACAAACCTCCCACAGAATCATCAAGGCACAAATTACTACTTCAAAATTAGATTCTTCTATATGTGGTTGTACATTATTTGGATTATGTGTTATTTCTTATCCATCCATTTAATCTTTATGCATATCTTATACTCCAAGAAATGATCATGTAAAACATTAAAAATGCAAAGGTTCCCAATACTATGAAATTTACCTTAACCTTTACACTATAAACTAACAGTTATTCAAGAAAAGCAAACTCTAGCATAAGAGTCGGTGTTATTTATCCAATTTTCAGTCATTGAATATTGATTATGATCGAGGGACTAAACTGATCATATCAGGTTAAAATGGTTTCATAAATAGTCTCTTATGTCCCTGTTTACTTTTTACCCATTAAAATGTCCCAAAGTCGAATATGGTTTCATGACAAGTAATGTTGAGCCTTATCTTTCTTAGTAACCTTCAGAAAAGTGAATATGTGGAGCTGCAATTAACTTATGTGTCGATGTGTCTCTTTCTTTACGATGTTAAGCCTAACATAGCAGTGCAAAGTTTAGACAAGAAAATATTTAATTGTGCCCAAGTCTTATGCCGGCATGAAAGTGGAAAACGCAATTTGAGAAGAGGTTATAATTATTTTGTAATTCGGAAGCATCATTGTCTAAATATATTTGAACCTCAACTTTTAATCAGAACTCAAAACCAAGGTGCATTAGCATGTTGCAACACTAATTGTTAGGGTGATCTCGTACAAGCAAAACTGAATGCAGTTTTTAGCAAAATTTGATCCAATAACTAGATCAATGAATAAAAAAGACCAATACCAAAACCATAACAAAAGTTACTAACGTTAATAAAAATATTTATAATAAAATAGATCGTAAAGCACCTCGTTTCTCCTGGTCTGGGTCTCTTAGGGTCAGCAAATCGAACAATCAATGGTTGTTCACAACCCTATCATTTACAAAGAAATAGTAAATGGATGAATATCAACAATGGCAGTAACAAAACCCATGATCATAACCTAAATAAGAAACATGCTTACTCGCATTGTGTACATTCCATTAAGAGCATTTATAGCCGCCATTGCCACATCTCTATTTGAAAATTTAACAAATCCACATCCTTCGGAAAATATTAAGCATATTAGAGGTAAGTGAAAATATAAGCTTATCCGACATGTAAATTAGAAACAAATGATGTGCAAGAAAGTACATATCTCGCCGTCCAAAACCAAGAATGAAATTTCAGACATACCAAGATCATTGGCAAAGTAAATTTTATAACTTCATTGAAAGCTATGTTTGAATCACTGTCTTATCTGATAGATAAAAGTTGAAAATTTTGATATAAGAACATTAAAGTTGCTTGCAAGTTACAAGGTAATTGTATTTCACTATTTCCAAACCTACTAGAGGCCAGCCCGTTGATAGGTCTTATGTAGATGTAGAACCGCAGCAAGTAAAACTCTAATAATGTAGGTAGTTTGACAAGTCTTAGATAAACACATCTATCATAAATAAGTGGTTATATTTCTTGTTTTGGATATCTACCAACAATTTTATCTGGAGGAAGCCTGAAGAACAGTTGAACACAATAACTTATACAATTATACCTTTCCAGAAGTTGGATCAAAGTAAGCTGATGCATGGCATTACATAAAAAGTGCCATATATGTATTAACTTTTAATTTTAATTTGAAAAAACTGGAACTAGAAGGTAGGCTGTTGGGAAGAAAAAATTTCCTACTATGTTTGTTGATGCAGTTATGAATACGCATGATTGCCTTAACTTCTCATTGACATAAGATAGACCATGCTCCCACATAATTAGAGTACATTAGAATTACACAACAGGTATGCAGTAGGTCCACATCTATTTGCTCTGGGTATGAATGATCTCACAAAAGACATCCAAGGTACAAAACCATGTAGCATGTTCTCTTTTGATATAGAACGTTAACTAGTGAGACAGGACCAGGCGTCAATGTAGAAGATAGAGAAGAACCACCTTGTATTTAGTAAAGGCTTTTAGTTCACATCAGATTGAAGCAGTAAATGAAGTGCAAACTCAAGAGAATCAATATAGAGGTGAAAGAGAACAATGTGGCAAGCATATAAGAGGAATATATTCCTCTCATTCGAGATAGATATTACAGCTCTAATACAACAGTTAATGAAGAGTGCCATAAGATAACATAGGGGATGAATGAAGTAGCCACAGACATCAGAACTCTTGTACACTCAAAATTCACACTGTAGCTTAAGGATAAATTCTACAAGATGAAAACGAGACATAAGACATTAGATGGTATATATGGGTGCAAACGTTGGGCATCAAGGACATAAAGACAGATGACTAGCATATGGATGTGCATACTTGGGTGGATCGGTGGTGCTTGATACGATTACATGAAAAAGTTGGGATGAAAACAAGAGAGTAAACTAACACGAACTAGTTGATTAGTGTAACCTAATCCATGCAATTCATTGGTTCACAATACACGTACGGTGCATGGTACACATAGTTAGAGGTACATGGATCTGTGAGGTAGTCTCACTAGATGCATTACTTTAGTGCATCACAGCTGTTCAGTGAGATACTTCTGTAGAGTGTGTTCAACGCTTACATATGTATCCACATTCTTATGGCAGGGTAGTATTACCAACTACAACTGAAACAATAGGCATAATATCATATAATAAGTCGGTAAGAATATATTGAAGAAGATGCACCTAATAAACTACAAAGGATATCTCAAGGTACATTATCACAATATAATTCCTTCATACTTGAATTATATTTGGAACTATGTGTATGTTTCTAATTTATTCCTTCAAATTTCATTTAATTAGTTTATTTTTGTCAAATCATTCAAATATAGACATAAAAGGTATGATAGGACTGATTCATGATCTATAAGGTGAAAGTGAATCTCATACACTGGTTTTGAGATTGTATGCTTATCTTCAGCCAGAAGCCTTTAACATACTAGAAAGTGATCTTACCACTAGGAAGATGTTAGTACAGGTACTGAGGTAAAGATTTAAGGGAGAAATCCAGAGAAACAATGTCGAGTAATTGAGAAACTTGAATCGATCTTACATAGGACAGATCAAAATATTATATTCATGTCCATGACCCCTTGGTAGGTTTAACAATTCTGTAGTTTCTAATGGATTTAGATTTTAATTAATCCAAATAAAAGTTTGTTAACACAGAGGAAGTTGACACATCTACCCCCCTTCCTTTCCCACTTAAATATAATCTCGATATTCCATTCAGATAGCTCTGAGCTAATTTTTCCAACTTGGTACACAAGGGATAATTTATTTTTTATTTTTTTATTTTTTTTTGGGGGGGGGGGGGTCTTTGGTTAGAGAAACACAGCACCTTCACATGCAAAAGGGGACCATGTTCATTGGGTGGTGGAGTGCAAAAACAATATTATAGAAGTCTTACATTTTAACAAGACTAGCCTTAGAACAGAACTTTAATGTAAAAATAATATGCACCAAAATAACAGAGAAATCAGGACAAACCACGACTCTGCTTCATTTCGTCGCGCATGAGATAGACATCCTCAACTCGACCATAAGGCAAAAAAATCTGAAAAGCATTTTTTTTAATTATCCTCATGCATAGATAGATAATTAGCAAAAAGATAAACGAAGCAAGAAAATAACATAAGCTCGGAAAAAATAGGCATAAATATGTTATGGCCTACTTCTTCAACTTCTTTCTCAGTCGCTTGTTTATTTAACGAGCCAACAAACAGCTTGTATTCCACTGCACCTAACACAGAAGAAAATAACATCAGGATCAAATTTCAATCAAAAGACAACAAACAAAATATATGTGGCAATTCACGAGATTTAAGTAATAGAGATACCAATGAAGTTATCAAATTACAATAAGTTAATTAGTACACAGCAATGTACTGTACTTATCAATCATTTACAACTAAAATTACATACACAGATAAATCAGCAAAAGTGAGAGATCGCCAAACGAAGACTTATCCAGGAATCAAGCATAAAGTTAACATGCACATGACTTGTATAGATGCATCTGTAACATAAGTATATTTCTTTACATTTGACATGCAATATTTCAACCTGAACCACCATATAGCAAGGATTTATAAACATGTTTTTACTGTTACTTATTATCACAAGGTATATATATACATATATAGACACACACACATATAAACCCCTCAGGCAAAATAAATGCAGCCCGGTTGTATCGATGGTTCTATGGCCCTTCTTCTGAATGCCCACTTTTTATGAAGACACTGGTGCTAAACAAGCACATTTTATATTCAAGAATCATCACGGCTATCGGTGTGAATTATTTACAGGGGTTTTAAGAAATAGAATAGCCAATACAAATTCCAAAAAGAATCTTCAAAGAAGTATAACAGATACATCATTGTATCCCCAATGCTTGTGTTGTATATGTTAATCAGTAAGAGTCCCGATCTTAGTCCAGAAAACTCCGAGATATGCATGTATGCAAATGTGTTTTCGGTCTTACATGGAGAAAATTTTGAAGGAGTAATTTACCTAAGCGCTCACGCTCACCATCAGCATACCTAACCTGGATGGGACCCACTCCCTGTAAAGAATACAGATGATTGCATCTTGCACTTATATAAATATCTAAGATTTATAAAAACATGCATCAGAGCAGAAAAACACTAACCCCTGGCAATGTGTACTGATTGTGTAAGGCACGTATTGCCCTATCAGCCTCTTCTGATGTAGCATATTTAATAAAGCAACATCCTGCAGAAGCGAACAGCGTGTGTCCTGGTATATTAAGAACACAGCTTGATGACAGAAGCAAAATGTTCTAGAAGCAAATATTCGTAAGGAAAGAGATCAAGCATTCCACCAGTTACAATAGCATATACAATCAACATTGTTTCAGAGATAAATACAAATTAACATCCATACATCTGTAACTACCTCAACCATCAATATTCAACACCAATAACACCAAAACCTTCCTATATACATTAATACATGTTAAAAACACATCAGCAAAAGCTTCCTTTCAACTATAAAAAATCTACGCAATCAACCATTCAATGGAAATGAACCAGGAAACATGATTAAATAAGATTCAATTAAACCTCAAGTACAATTGACATTAACAAAACAATGAATCAATCACTCGAATTAAATAGCGGTTAGGACCGATATTTGAAATAGCGGTTATAATGGAGGTATAGCGTCGAAAAATAGAGGTTCATATAATATTTCTTAGAATTATATATAATATATATGTATGCATACATAAACATATCATATCCATTAATTAAATATAGTTCCAACATCAAAACATCAACTTAAACAAGTTTCCAAAACAAAATAAAAAAGTGTTCATAAACGAGCTAATAGCAAGCAATTCATCATCCGAGTCAACATAGTTCTAAAGAGACCCAAGCTAAAATATTGGAATACCCGTCCGCAATTTCACCTCAAATATCGGTCAATTGCACTGTTAATATCAGAAACACAATTTTCACTGCAAGTTTATCTTAGTCCGCAATCCGCTATTGCAGCGCAATAGCACCGCAATTAACAGCATAGACTGCAAGGCTGACTTTCACCAAAATAATACACCACCAAGCAACTCTAAACAAACATTAAAATTATGGCCTCACAATAATACATTCTGCTACTACATAGATGAACAAGCAGTCTAATGCGGGACGTAAACATAACTAATCGAGATCAACCAATCAATACACCTTGCCCCAATCAACCGTCCAGCATATGACCACTTGCACTGAAATTTTAGCACATACACAATCTTTCTCACCAAATAAAGTAGCATGTCTAACATTCTTTCAGCCTTTGAGCATAGTACTACCTAATTCAGGAAATCCACCAAGCAAATAACATGCAAAATACATGTTACAAGAAGGAAAAAGAACGTATTGGAAACCAATATTTTTTTTGTTGTTCATTTTTTTGTTTATGTTTTTCTTTTTACCCATGCTATGTAGTGTAGTCATCATCCCCTGAAGTTTTACAATATCTTGAGGGCACAACCTGTAAGCATAAATCTTGAACCAAACAAGATTCACCCTCATGAACTTACATCTATTAAACCCAAAAGACCTCTATACAACAAATGCAGCATCGAGTAAAAATACTTGTCAAGCATGATCTAAAGATGGCACAAAACTCAATCAACTGAAGCGTGGAGGGTTCGATATTTTAAAATGTTGCCGGATTACAAAGTGCAGACTCATTCAGAGACCAATGTCACCAAATAATCATCAACAACCAGATCCCATAGCCTGAGCGCCATAGTAATTTTCATTCTTAGTAATCCATCAATAAGCTCCATCGTTCCAATATCCATTCACAAATAATAAAAATTAACTACATTTGCTGCAAACTAAATGCAAAAACAGTAAATCTACTTCATCCATTCAAATGCTGTCCTTGGAAGAATACTAGAAGATTATTCAACTACCCATCCATTCTAACTTATAACTTTTGTTAACACATATAAGTTGATTTGCATCCACAGAGAAACAAGAAATTTGAACATGACACATAAAATGCAGGATGGTATAACAACGAATGAACAACACAAACAATATTAATGATATAACTATATGAACCAACACAAACAAGATTAATGGTAACAATGTCCAGAAAGCAGAACTCGATGCAATATCCCTGCCCATTTGTTCATAAAGTAACAATGGCAAAGGAAAAAATCGACAAAGATTGGATGCAGTGCTCGATATGAGGTTCCCATGTGAAGGTTGCATTTCAGACAGTTGAGTTGATTCAACAGTCCTTATGGTGCCATTCCATGTGGTAGGATGAAAGTTATGAAACATTTGCAACTCAAAACTGATCAAAAGATGGACAAAATCAGTCTCCCAATAACTCATTCTACAAGCATCATAAAGTTCCGAGCTTTGCCGTGTTCAACCGAACTGTAGGCATTACTAAATCACTCATATTCATGAATGATAAACTGAAACGAATGGCAGAAAAAACCAAATACAAAAGCTGTTTCATATACCACCCGAAGCATGTTGTTAATGGGGCCAATGAGGTCATCCACCACCAGCAATATGACATGAAATGGAAACACAGAGATCAACATATATGTTGACCCCATCGAAACGAAATGGTGTTGGTAGCACATCAACTAGACTTCAGGAACTCTTAAAAACAAATGACCTGCTGATAGATTTAAGTCACAACTATATAAAAACCATCACATATTATCACAACCATACATAGAGAGGGTGAGGCCAGGAGGGATCTCGTAGAACCAGTAACATTGACTTTTGGGCATGCTTGGGCCTCAAAATTTGCAAAGTTAGACCTTCAGTTACAAGTTTATACCATTCATGCACTTCAAACCAACCAAGACCAAGATGAAATGTGCACATTCAACATTAAATAATTAACTTGTTAGGATGTAGAAAAATAAGATTGTCGCATGAGTTGGATACAACAAACCATCAAACCTAAATTTCAACCATACACACACTCCACCATCAGTAACCCAATGATGAAAATAAATCAAACATGTTTTACAAGCCAAAATCATGCAACAAATATATTAGCCATCAAAACGCGATTAGGATCATACACAAAGCAACCAAACGGAAATGAAAAATGCCACAAACTGCAACACTAAAAGTCCATTGCATGAAATAAGTTAACCATACCAATGACAGGAACATTCAAAAATTCTAACCCTCCACAAGCCATCAACAACAGTTCATTTCTCCTCAAATGCAAAGGAATACTATAAAAAGGCAACCGAAGCTTTTATGGAAGGATAATTTGTTGTAAAGAAAAAGGAAAGAAAAACTCATACATTCAAAGAAATACACCAATACTCTAGTTGGAAGTATCAACTCATGCATTCAAAAAATAAAATAGTGACCATCGAGACAACAAGCCCATTATAGAGAATCTAGATATCCTCGAATAAATCATTCAATGAATTAAAGCACATTGTTGATTCCAAGAGAACTGATAGGTTAATAAATTCACTCATATTGTACCTACAAGGCCGGAATCTTCAGATGATTTGAAAAGACATACAATATGCTACAGCGAGTAGATAATTCCAACAACAAAGTAGATGTCAGTAGCAACCCATCTTTATAACCATCACATTCCCAAGATCACAACTAACAAGCATTTATAATTATAAATCACTTTTTGCAGGTCTATATGCAAAGGAGCAACAGAAAATCTCAAAGATACAACATTGCCACCATCCACACACTACAGATAACCTACTTACCAGTATATGCCGGTTGTAGTATGGAAAAATTCCTTCTACACATTTCAACATTATTAGCCTAGCTTTTAAATTACCAAAAAACCTAATCTACAGGATCTTGCACAGTTATTATGACATAAAGGCTGCCCCCAAGCAACATCATCAACATCTTCTATGAACGAACAGCTATAGTTACTGATATTTAATGGTCTAGTTTTATCTTCTTCTTCTTAGACAGATAGGATCTTGCAAACCATAAGCAAGAGGCCTGAAAATTGCCAAAACAACTAACTGGGAAGAAATATAAGTTTACATTTGCTTCCCTCGGCCCCTCAAAGAACCTGAAAAGAAATATTGGCACACATCAAATTAAAGAAAAATAATTATGCAGTTGCACGTACCTTGTTGCTGCCCTGTTCTCTTGTCTTTGATCAAAGCAACCTCAACGACATTCCCATGTTCTTCAAAAGCAGGTCGGATCTGAGATTGTATGTACAATATATCAACATAATTGAAATTTTGACCAAATGTAAACAAAAGGCAACAGCTACTTAATCAGCCTAACAGAGCAGATATAGCATGTAGATGAAGAGCAGAATAAGCAAGGCTAGATTGCAACATGTAATAAAAACAAGAAGAAAAAGAATTTAATTCTACAACACGCCCAATGAAGTAGCAGAAAACAAAATGTATCATGTCTAAAGTGTAAACACCTAAAACTTACGTCTTCTTCAGTGGCCGTCTTCGGAACTGAGCCAACAAAAAGCTTGGCAAAACTGCCTCCTTCAGAATGCTTTTTGTCAAAATTGCCTCCATCAATGTGTCTTTTGTCAAAATTATCTCCATCAAAGTTCCTGTTCTCAAAATTGCCTCCACCAAATCGCTCTACGTAAAACAATGTATCAGCCTCACAGGAAGCTTTCAGGAGAAAAAAATATATAGCTGGAGAACTAAAATAAATACAAGAAATGTGATTTAAAAAACTGGCAAGTCACAAATACTTCACAATTTCAAATTCATAATAACAAGGAAATAGTAAACTAAGATAACCGAAAGTACATTCATTATTGTTTGTTGTTTTACTCAAAATTGTTATTTGTCACATCCACTTGTTTAGCGCTCTAAAGAGAATCTATACAAAGAGAATCTATACAAAGAGAATCTATACAAAGAGAATCTATACAGTGTAAATTTCAACACTCATCCCAATATTTAAGCCTTTCTAGAGTTGAGTTAACCCAGCCTTCTGAACCGTAATTGCTCAGAGATTAACAAACAGTTGAAGTGTTTCCCCTGCATTTTTCATCATCATACACCAACCATTCTTAACCGTAAAAATGAATTGAAGTACTGCAAATCCAACCAGCCTATTCCTCAAAGATCAATACATAAGGGTTCAAAAGCAAATCTAGACATGAGAAGCTAAAGCTACTGCTCTGTTCACCTCCCCAAAAAAGCCACAGTTTGCACTTCTACGACCATCACTGTATTACATCTTTAAACAAAAAACATCATGATTTTAGTCGAGTACTCCTAACGTTAGGGTCAATATAGTACCTTTAACATGCAAATTCGAGAAACAACTAGTAAACTCTACACAAGCTACCTGGGGGAGACCCTCCATCTCGGCCAACAAAAGGGAATTGACGTTTCTGGCCCGACATAGGCACCTCGTAATCAGAATTGAACCTTTTCTGCCCTGAAAGAGGCACCTCGAACTCTGAAGAAGGATTGTTGTAAGCCCTAGCACCACGCACACCTAAAGGCCGGAAACCACCTTCCCCTTCCATCGGGCGAAAACCTCCACCGCCGCCGCCACCACTAAGAGGATAACGAGGTGGACTATTGTCAAAAGGACGGCGATTTCCGGAGAAACCTCCACGGTGACGATTGATGGTAACATCATCTGAAGATCGTGACGATGGTGTACCTCCACCTCTAGGGTGTCTGTAAGGGTGAGAATCATTAGGACTGTTTCCATATCGATCTCCTCCTCCTCCTCTATGTCTATCCATTATTGAATGAAGCTTCTGCAGAAATTTCTTGAGGGTAAACAGAAACCCTAACCCTATATTTTTGAGATTTTGCACTGGGAAATTATGAAATTAATGATTCGGGATTGGAAATTAAACTCGAGCAGCGGCTACCATGATTCTACTTGATGATGATATTTGTTTATGTACCCTCGTAGTTTTATTGTTTTCATTTGTGACCTTCTAAATTCCTTTTTGTGATATGTTAACCCAAAAAGAAAAAGTGGAGCCTCCCCATTTTTTTAAGTTTACAAAATTTTATAGTAATATTTTTTTTGGTCTGAATCACATTCTTTACAAATATTAGCATATAAATGGTTGTCTATTAGCATGTTAAATATTGTTGTTTTATAAACAAGTTGTTGAATCATACACCAGCTTATACTACATAATATCAGTTTAAACTATGTCGCACCAATAGAGGATCTACATGGCCTCATATGCAAATTTTAGGTCACTTTTAGAGTCGCATTTCACTAAATGCAATTTCAACCAAACTTGCTTGAGATGTGGCCTCCTAAACACAAATTTATACACGAACTTGAGTTCACTTTGTGTGATATTACATGAAAACTTTGAATTTGCTTGTATGTGTCGTATGTGTGACTTTCTATACAACCCCCATGTTGCATATGGGTTGGAATTTGATGGACAGTGGGTCGAGATCCGACGTATGCGACTTTCTTGTCGATCTTGACCTTACCAACATCAAAATTTGTTTTTCTACGTACAATATATATATATATATATATATATATATATATTCAATATCATGTTTAAACATCAAGAACAATTTCATGTTTTGATATGTCTTTGTCTTATTGATTTATGACAGTAACATACATGTTGCCTCATCACTTAATTCCATGGCCTTAAGGCCTGGCATTCGACATGTAATAAATATTAATCCATTATTTAACATATTTTGTTGTTGTGTAAAAGATAAAACTCAACCATAACACCAAATTCATCTTAATCGAGTGATTTATCATCAACATTTGTTGTACACTTTATGTTGCGTTCTTGCCTCAATAACACACCAAAAACTTTAACATTTTATGTTATCTTTGTGAGTTTCGGTTATGGGGATCACGAGATTACAATGAGAGCAATTTTGCTTGATGATTTATATGTGATCAGCTATACCAGATATACTAAAATCCCTCTCAACTTCTAATTTGATTTTAAGGCTCGTTAATAATTGCACATTTTATTCAAGCATGTTTATCACAATGATACTCAAATCCTCGTTTGCCGATAAATAACACTCTATTTCATGAACTAGTATTCTCATATATTACATAGGAAGCCCTCATTTGGACTATCTAATACAAATTAGGTTTAATAACTGGGAAATACAAATTTTGAGTCAAAAAAATGAATAGTAAAGTTAAAATATTGACTAACGAAACGCCCATCGACCAAAAAACTTTAAATGAATTTTCTTCATTGTTTAATTCTTGTGGTCTTATAAGAATATGTTTGGAAAGCAATGTATGGGATAATGTACGTGTTTTTACATCAAAAATCAATTACGACCATAAGTTAAGAAATTTGCGATTAACTCAGAGGGCGTTTGGTTTGATTGAATGATTTTGGGAGATTTTGATTTCGTGGAAGGATTTGGAATTGGATGGATTTGTATTTGGAAGATGTGGTGTGTCTGACTTGTAGGATTTCAAGTCCGTTCTATATAAACAATTTATAAAAACATACCATAGTTAGTTATAAAATGTAAGACCCATAACAAAAAAATATAAAGAGATTAACTGGCCGAAAATATATATATAGCAGAATCTAGAGTTTTACAAGAAATCGCCCAACAAAGGGGAAGAGTGTAACGATTACAAAAAAAAAACCCGACTAGCAAGACGGTAAATAACAACCTACTAATCTAAACAATCCTATGTCTAGATTAAGGACGGGTATTTATATCATCTCCAACAAAACGCGTCAAATGAAAACCGCTACGCTCCCATTTCACCAAAAGCTTCAACTACAAAAGACTTTTGCGAGACATCGCTCCCTTAACCCTTCGGAACCCATTCGCTAAAGGAACCTGATAAATAAGTCATTTCAAGAAAGAGCGTTAGGCTTTCGCCTAGTGAGTTCAAAATGCAAGCAAATAAATCAGTAAACCCCTATGCATATAAAATATATATATAAACGCATGACGTAAATTTAAAACGGTATAAGTGGACATGAAGGTTCTGATTTACTTGGGGTGGAGTCAAACATCCCAAGATGACGGGGGAGACCCGATTTACCGTTAACTATGACGGAACACAAAGTAAGTCATAAATCAACGTTGTAGAGCATCACTTACAAGATTAAAACCATCGACATCAACCAAACCGATCATGTAATCGGTTGTGATCTAAGCTCTTTAATCTCGGAAATTACACAATAATCACAATGCCTATTTCCGAGCGGGCGTGAAAAGGTGATTTGAAGCTTACATAGTGATCACAATGTCTAATTTTAACTTACACCAACCTTCACATAAAACAAATATAACGACCATGGATATTTTACCAAGTAATTAAACCCTTTATTCAAGCTCAATCTATATTCGATTATAGAATGTATCTAGTTCAACCTTTTGACCCAAAACCTTTATTTCAACCGGGTAAATGCATGAAGTTAAAGCATACTCCTCTAAAAGAGTGTACATCAAAGCAAATAGGGGTAGGATACCAAGGCTGTAGGT